ACAAGGAGGTAGATAAAAACTGACGACGAATAATTCAGGAAGAATACTACATTTCTAAGCCTGGGATGCAGTGACAAAGACAACATCATGGATCCCTACATCCCAAGTCTTTAGCAGAGAATGTGATTTTAAACTCTGCTGGTAGGTCTGTACCCGGAATCCAATTCAGCAAAAATGGCTTGAGAGGCCATTTAAACCATCCATTTGTCTAGATAAATCTAGATTTTTATATCTGAAGAAAGCCAGAATACCAGAAGGGTATTGAAGGAACCCTATAAGAAACAACCACAGGTGTACAACTGTGTAAAAATTCACTTTACTATATGTATGTTATGCCCCCATAAAAAAGTGTAAAAACACACACACATGAAACAGAGAAATAGGAACCTCTTCTTGCATATACCAGAAGGCTGCCATTGAGGCCACTGCACCCTGCAGGAAAAGTCATCAAGAAATTTATTAAAACTTCAGTACCAGGAAATACTTACTTTTCTGAGGAAATGATCTACTTTCTCTGTACAAAAACACGAATCCTGTAATGTTTTGTGTTTCCCTTGCTGTCACTGGCTACCAAAATTATTGGAGATAATCTGGTAGCTCAACATAAATAAGCCCTCAGGTCTTACAGTTTTTTATTAATATTCTGACTTCACAATTCTGAGCAGAATCTCTGACCTGCATTCCCACCGTTCCTAGTTTACCGTGACATCAACATTACGGTTGATATTTATTTGTCTTCAGATCCAGGCTCTTATCAATGTGTCATTTTCCAATTCATCAAGTCAATTTGTATAAGTCTCTACAAATACAACAGAAAAGGGGGGAATAAATAAATATGTAAAACTCACCTGGACCTTGGTCATTTTCTTCTGTTCTTAGAAAATGACTGGAACTGGGATTCTTCTTTTTTTTACTTTTCTAGATTGTCACTCAAATTCTGGTCATAGCTCTCACATCTCAAATTAATGGCAACCCCAGAAGTGATGCTTTCCTGGTTCTGGAACTTCCTTCTCCTTACTTCACTTGATTCTAAGGACTCAAAAGCAAATTTGCTTTAATTTGTGCATTCCCCTCAGCCATACACCTTGTCGGTTGGGATTTGATGTTAGAGGACGCCTATATTAGTTTTTGTTTTTATATAAATTTATTTATTTATTGCGGTGGCATCCTGCAGTAAAGGTGCTGCAGTAGGTGGAATCATGGCCCTCACAAAGATATCCACGTTCTAATCCCTGGAAGCTGTGAATATGTTACATCACAAGGCAAAGGGGAACTGAGGCTGCTAATGAAATTACAGTTGCTAATCAGATGACCTAAAAATAGATTTCCTGGATTATTCAGGTAGGCCCAATGTAATCACAAGGATCCTTATACATGGAAGAAAGCAGAAGAGACCAGAGAGAGATGTGATGTGACAAGAACTCTACACACCATTGTTGGCTTTGGAGATGGGGGGAAAGGGAAACAGGAGCCAAGGAGTGTGGGCAGCCTCTAGAAGCTGGAAAAGACAAACAGATTCTCCCCCTAGAGCCTCTAGAAAATAACGCAGTCCTGCTGAGACCTTGATTTTAGCCCCGTAAGATCCATGTTGACCTTCTAACCCATAGAACTGTAAGATAATAGACTTGTGTTGTTTAAGCCACTAATTTATGTTACTTTATCACAGAACTAACAGAAAACTAATATGGGGGCTTCCCTGGTGGTGCAGTGGTTAAGAATCCGCCTGCCAACACAGGGGACATGTGTTCAAGCCGTGGTCTGGAAAGATCCCACATGCCGCAGAGCAACTAAGCCCATGAGCTACAACTACTGAGCCCACATGACTAGAGCCCGTGCTCCGCAACAAGAAGAGCCACCTCGAGAAGCTCGCGCACCGCAACTAGAGAAAGCCCTCGCGCAGCAACAAAGACCCATCACAGCCAAAAATAAATAAACTTATATATATATATATAAAAAACTAATATAGGCATCCTCTAACATCAAATCCCAACACTTAAGAGTTTTCTTTTGTTTAAAAACCCACAACATAGGGCTTCCCTGGTGGCGCAGTGATTGAGAGTCCGCCTGCCGACGCGGGGGACGTGGGTTCGTGCCCCGGTCCGGGAAGATCCCACATGCCGCAGAGCGGCTGGGCCCGTGAGCCATGGCCACTGAGGCTGCGCGTCCGGAGCCTGTGCTCCGCAGCGGGAGAGGCCACAGCAGTGAGAGGCCCGCGTACCGCAAAAAAATAAAAAAAAAACTTCATGCGGAAGGAGAACATGAATGCCACATCTTGGCCACATCCCAGTTTCATGACTCCTTGTCCATGAGCCCTCATGTCCCTGCTGATGATTTCTTGGCATTGCACCCATTCACTTTATGGAATCACTCGTGTTGCCCTAGAAGGGCCACCTGCCTTTCCAGAAATACACCTATGTGTAAATATAAAACAATAAAGCTTTACAGAGCAAAGTAGGCCATAGAAAGAAATTTTCATAAGTTCCACAAGTCAATATCAAAGAGGCTTATTCCTTGACCACAATGCAACACAACTAGAAATCAATAGTAATGAGAAAATCAACACGTTAATCAAAATAGAAACAAAACCCTGCACACCCAGGAAAAAAACCCAAGAAAAACCTTCAAACTAAAAAGCCAATATAAATGAACACTCTGAATTATTCAGTAGTAAATGGCAACAAATCCTGTGGGCGGGTGAGAGAACCTGGATAAGCATAGAATCATAACATGTTGCAGAAAAGTACAGATATATGTCTAGCCTATCCAAATTAATGTATACGTACATTTAATGCGACTCTAGTAACCTCGTCACTGGTTCACCCACCTGATGTGACACTACTGCAGCCATTAAGAAAATCTGTAATCCTTTTATATGATGGAAGTGTTTATAATTAGAAATGAAGTGATAAAACCAAATTATATCTGTTATACAGGTCATTCCAAATGCAAAGGTAACAAAAAAATATTAAACATACACAGTGGTTTGCACTGGAGATCAGCGTTTCAGGTAGCAGATGTTTTCACTTGTGTAGCATGAACCTGAAAGGACATATCCAAGAAAACTGTGGAGTAAAATTGGAGGCAAGAAGAATAAAACGTATCTTTTATAACACACCACCAGATCATATCTAACTACATTTTTGGTTGGGAAGACAATGACAAGAGTGTTTATGTGGCAAGACAAAAGAGTTGGGTTTTTTTTTTTGCTGTACGCTGGCCTCTCACTGTTGTGACCTCTCCCGTTGCGGAGCACAGGCTCCAGACGCGCAGGCTCAGAGGCCATGGCTCATGGGCCCAGCCGCTCCGCGGCATGTGAGATCTTCCCGAGCCGGGGCACGAACCTGCGTCCCCTGCATCAGTAGGCGGACTCTCATCAACCACCGCACCACCAGGGAAGTCCGACAAAAGAGTTTTTAATTAGTGCCTTGATGAAGGTATGGACTTGAAGGAGTGAACTGGATTTGGATCAGTTGAATGAATCTATCATCAAGTCTGTGCCCAGGAATTGCCATCTGAACCTCAACCTACCTATTCTCCAGGGACCCTGGGTCTCCAAACCGCCAGCCTCATGCCTCTCCACATGCACTAGCCTCCCCCACAAAACAACAACAAAAAATGACTCCAAGTTAAATCTGAAATCTGAACCAGAAACCACCATTCATTAGCACCCGTCCCCCATCCCAGGCTTCTCCACGTCTGAGCCCTACAGTGAATCGCAGACCTGCATGAGACATCGAATTCACTGATCTACACCTACCACTCCAGGTCTTAATCACTGAGCTTCACGAACAGAAATTGCTACCAAACTTGGGTCAGCTCACCCGCTGAGCAGCAAAGCCAATTTACTGACACCGCATTGGTATGAAGGACAGTCCAGCGTTTACTACAGGTCCCAGCAAGGAGAACTGGCAGCTCAGGCTTGAAAGACTCAACTCCCTGATGGCTTTCAGGGAAGGGTTTTTTGTTTTGTTTTGTTTTTTGCGGTACTCGGGCCTCTCACTGTTGTGGCCTCTCCCGCTGCGGAGCACAGGCTCCGGACGCGCAGGCTCAGTGGCCATGGCTCACGGGCCCAGCCGCTCCGCGGCATGTGGGATCTTCCGGACCGGGGCACGAACCCGTGTCCCCTGCATCGGCAGGTGGACTCTGAACCACTGAGCCACCAGGGAAGCCCTCAGGGAAGGGTTTTTAAAGGCAACGTTTGTGGTGAGGGATGCAGGTGAGGGATGACTTTCTTCCGATTGGTTGTTGGTGAGGTAACAGAGTGTTTCAGGAACCTTAATCAACTTTCTGGTTCCAACCAGTCTGAGGTCTACATGCTTATGCTCAGCAAGTAGTCACCACCCTCCACCCTGGAAGGTGTCTTAGTTTCTGCAGAACAACTTAAAGGTATGCATCAGATCGTTATGCACATCCTTTGAGGAGGAACTAGGACTCTGTGAACTATTGTTTCTTGTCTGCTTTTTCCTGCTTCTATGTTCCCTTACTTCCCTAATTAGTCTGATCTTTGGAACTCAGCGATACCCCAAGAGACCAAAGCCTTTTTCTACAAGCTAGAAAGGGGGTGACACAGAGGGGCTTTTGTACCCAAGAGGTACTTCAGGGTCCTGCTGTTTCAATCCCCCCCTTTCTTTCATACTCCTCAATCCTGAGGGGAACACGGGTGAGAGAAGAAAAAGAGTAAAGTTTGGGATAGAGAGGTTAAATATAAAGTCAGCGGGGGAACTCAATTTTAGGAGCGCTGGGTTTCAAAATACCCACATCAACAAAAACCCTCAGTCAGAGCCTCGGTCGTTTCTCTCTTCATACATACATTTAATAACACTGACCGCCAAAGGGCCTATTACTGAAGCCAAGCCTCCCCAGTGACTGAACCTAAAGACACCCCCAGAAGGCCTTTCACTGGCCTCACAGGCCCCTCACTCCGGACCCACGTGCAGACCCCGACCCACCTGCTGCTGAGATTCTCAAGGTTCCCGCCAGCTGCCAAAGACTGAATTCACTTCCAAAATGATTCCCACTCCTCCGCTGTCGCGCCCAAATCCCCTCTCTGGCTGTCGCTAGGTACGCCTCCGGCCCTGCCCGACCTCAGAGCTTTTCGGTGTGTTGGAGTTCGGGTACCACGACCAGCTCTATGACGTAACGTGGCCACGCCCATCTCAGCGAGCGGGGAGGAAACGGTCATGATGGAGGCTACGGCTCAGAGCGGGAAGAATTGAAATCACTTTTGGACACCTCCTTCCCTTTCCCGCTTCGTTGTCGGTCAGAAGCTCTAGGCTGAATAATTTTTTAGAGGCTGGGCCCTATCCAAGGCCGTGGCGGCGCCAGCTGGATTCTATTTTGTCTTTTGGGCAACACGAGAGAGATGGCGGCGCCCGTGAACCACGACGGAGGAGCACCAAGGGGGCGGCCATCTTACAGGAAGTGCATTTCCGTTCAGCAGAGACCCGAGGAGCTAGTGTTAGGAGGAAAGTTGGGACGGTCAACGAAGTTTGTAGGAGTTGAGACACGTTGTAAAGGCGGCGGTCAGGTCCTGCACAAAACACGGAAACTTCGAGTCCTGGTGAAATTTGGGAAAGAG